GAGACGGAACAATGGAAGGGAGATTGGTTAAGTTCTTCTCTTGTAATGCGGGATTTTGCGTGAAAGTTTTTGTTTATATTCAATCTGGGCTGCTGAACTCGTTATGATTCAACACATAAATGCGTTTTGGCATGGTTCTGGTCATTTAGGTGGGACGAGGCTCTTGTACTGCACTGTAGTTAACCTGATCTGGCCCGACCCCACTTGTGCTCAAGCCCTAGTAGGATTGCAACAGAAGTTACTTCACCTACCACGTTAATGAACAAAAAACGCACAATTCGAGAAATTCGAAAATTCGAAAATTCATTTTTTCCCTCTTTCCTCCCTTCTCGACCTCGTCGCATCCATCTCTGAATTGTGATCGAGTTCAGGCATTTTCACCATGACTCCAGTTCACAAAAAGCGTCCCAACGCCAAGTTGGACTACACGAGAGCCCACTCGAGGGCTCTCCAACATGTACCTGGCCTTGCCCAGTCTCCGAAATGCGCGGAGATGAGCAAGTTCTCAACTAAAGGGAAGGAAAAAGCCCCCCCTGCAGTCACTGAACCCGATACTGACATGATCGGGTCAGTCGAAATTGTTGAGGAAATTCCTCAACCATCCTCCGTCCCCCATGGGATTGGAGAATCATCCAAACCTCCTCTGACTACCTCAAAACCGTCGGAAAACGCTGCACCCATAGCAGCGTCAACATCAACGTCGCAGCCAAAAGCTGCCACGAAAGTAGAGTGTCCCCTCGAGCTCCGACCAATAGTCGAAGCTGAACAACGACGCGCTGCCATTGCACAATACATGGCCACTATGCCACCCGTTCTCCCTCCTCGCCCGACGAACCCTCTTCCAAGGGCTCCCAACACCAGGAGCAAAACAATTCCCGCCATCCCAGTTCTACCTGTCAAAAGCACCTGTGTCACAGGCTCATACTTAGTTATCATTAGGCTGCTGCCTAACAAACAAGGCTTTAACTCTTCCAACCATAATAAACATCATACATGTCATGAACCCCTCCACAACTCATTAGACCCAAGTATAGGCCTTGGCCCAGTTCATGCAAATCTATTCTTAAATGACAAATTTAGATTGCAGACAGGACGACTCGAACACCAGTCGTGAGTCATCTAAGCCACATGCATCATAACTATTTTAATAACTAAAATTACTAACATTAAAATGAAGCTGAATTAAAATAGACGGAGATGCTGGTGTTTGTCGGAGGACAGGTCATGATCTATTTTGAGAATGGTATGAAATGAGGGAACGAGATCATAGTCTTGTAAATAAATAGGAGGCTTTCAGTCATGTCTCTGCTCGTTACTTTAAGATTTTCATTTGTATCTAGCTCTGAGTTCAGTTTGAATAAAACGCCACTTTAAGACTGTCATAATCTGGGCCACGGTGGCCAGAAAAGGACTGCAACAAAAAGCAGTCCCAACTGTAAAGGCTGTGCCGCAACCTGCGGCAAAAGCCCGACAAAAAGAAACTTCCAAGGCAAAAGTCAAAAAGCGGCTGTTCCTTTGCCTTGAAAATGACCACCCGTGGAGAAATCTGTCCACAAGTTCTGTGAGAAGTAATTTGGAGGACATATTCCATTACTTTCCCCATAAAATACCCTTGCTTAATCGAGTGAGGACTGGCTTTGCTTTGATAGCAAAGAACGACGAAATATGACAAGAGATGCTAGATGGCTCTTCGAAGCTGGCGAGCAAAAACGCCAAACTCGAGGCATCTTCGAATCTTGTTGCCTTACAGATACCCAACGTACCTGTAAGTATAACTTCAGAGGATGGAACCAGGGCGGTCAGTGCTGAATGGGTCTCTGTCCAAATCACCATTACGACCGGCGTAAATCCAATCCAGGTCCGACCCCATGGGACGTGTCAACCTGGGGCGCTGTCAGGATTGCCTTCTGTATAATCTATATGTGGAGATAACCAGAATCTAGTGTTCTATGATTCTGGTCTGGCCTTTTGGCCGAGCGGTTATGCACCTATCTCATGCATAATGTAGGATGGCGCCCTTTAGCCTGAACAAAACCTCTTTGACCCATGTCTCCGCCCTGCTGTCTACATGCTGCTCTGACAGGCGCCATATTGAGACCAGCATGCCATTTTCGACCGGGACTCCGCCCCTCGTGCGGGCTTCCGCCTCTTCGAAGAGTCTGGTAAGGCTACCCATCACAAGCCTTGTCGCCAAATTGAACAGTGCAAACGCTGTTTGGGCTTCCACGCTACCTGTGGTTGCTCCTGCGCTCCAGCCTGCTGGAACTGCGGATCAAATATGCATTCGGCTTCCGAGTGCAAGGCCCTCACAAAGTGTCGTACCTATGGGGGACCTCACCGATCGGATTCTCGGGCCTGCCAAGTCAGACCCAAAAATTCCGGACCGGTGAAAAAAGAGCAGCTTGCATGGATCTGCCACATCGAACAAAGGGAGTTTGTGAAGGTGGCACGAGCTCGAGCAGCAGCCAAAAGGGCCGAAGAGGCGATCATTGCCGCGGCAAAGGATGTCTCTATGGCCGAGGATACAGGTTTCGGAACACTGGAAGCTGAAGAAGAAGTTTGAGGACTGTTAGAGCAGCATGCAGACAGCAGGGCGGAGACATAGGTCAAAGATGTGGTATTCAGGCTAAAGGGCGCCATCCTACATTATGCATGAGATAGATGCATAACCGCTCGGCCAGACCAGAATCATAGAACACTAGATTCTGGCTATCTCCACATTAATAGATTATACAGAAGGCTATCCTGACCAGGACACAGCAACCTCGACAATGCCTCCTTTTGGGGCATTTATTAACCAATAGCAGGATACTGGCTGGATCAAAGGTGCCTGCAAACCCATCTTTTGCTCTCAGCAGAGAATGGGCAAATTTTGTCATTTGGAAGGTGTGACAGACAACGGAATGTGTAAGGAGCACATTGCTTGGGTCCAATGAGGAGGAATCTTCTGGTTTTTCGGAGGTGTTTTGATTTTCTTGATTTTTTGTATCTGTTTGATTGGCTGCATTTTTGGTAGCAATTCACAAGGTTGGAACGAGTTAGGTATTAAAGTTCTAGGGGGTATCTGGAATGATAGAAGTGAACGCTGACTGTCAAGTCAATACTGTAGGAATTGTAAGATATTGGGGATTTAAGGATCAGAGATAAAAGGTTAGGATCAGTGAGGTTTTGGTTTTACTGAACTTATATTTCGGTAATTAAAAGTGTTAGTGTTTAATCTACATCTAATTGTCTATCTATGTTCTACCTTGCTTAGGTAGAAACATTGTGTTCTGATTATGTGATGGAATAACATTCACACCACCGAGATCATCACCAACCGAGACCTCACCAAAGCTGGTAGGGATCGAAGATGAGTAGTCTTTGTCTACTCTGCACTGCGTGCAGTTCGGTCTGGCATGTCTAGATTTCAACATTAGGCTGTAGGAAAGATTACAGGGAACCCTGAAGGATCCGCCGGTCCTTGACCCAATGTGGAAAACATAGCTTTAGCTTAGGACCAAAAAGTAAAAAAAAAAAAAAACAACCTATGAACCGACAGGAGGACGAAGGCTGAACACCTGTCAGTGGTGTCCTCTACAAACCTGGGAGTGAAATATTCTCCCAGAGCCGAGATTCAGTCACGAAAAAGGGTGGGATGAATTTTATTTGATGGATTTTTGACTAGGAGTTGCACTTGATATTTTGGTCGAAAAATCAGCTGGCAGAGATTTCACAGCCGGAACAAAGTTGAACAAGAACTCATCACTACCAACATACAATTCACAAATGGATTTAGGTCTGTCTGGGGGTTGTATTCAAACATCCAACATCTCTCAAACTCCTTATATATTTGCGACAATCCATATCTCAGCTGATCTCTCACCTGCGACCCACCTCTATACTTGTCACGTGTGAAGGGACTAATCAAATTAGCTATTTGCATGAAAGTGTGTTGTAAATTAGTTTATATTCTGTATAAAGAAAGAAGCACTACAAAGACTATATGCTTGTCTTGATACCGCGCGTCGCAAATGGATTTATGCAGGAGTTATACTTCACACAACTCCTTAATCTATCCAAGCCATGTACTCTAAGACTTCTTGATAAATGAACTGGATAAACTCCGGTTATAACTAAACAAGGTGCTAGCCTATAACATTGCCTTTTTCCCCTATTTTGAGGGTTAATAGTTACGCCCTTAGGGCTCCAAACATGCAATGAGCAAGGCAGTGTAGGTGCTTGAACATGAAACACCTACACATGACATGAATGCCAATCTAGTCTTGGCATTACTCAGCAAACACCCACACCTCATGTATATAGAGCTCGCTGTAGCTACTCCTATTTCTCCTTCCATAGCCAATCTATCTTACATTCCTAAGGCTGCCTCTCTACCATTTTCATACCTCGTGATTTTGGCTATCTTTTTCAGAGACCCAGCCTACTTGATTCACTCACACACCCACGCACTACACTTTCAGAGTCATCCACAGTCCCATAGCCCCATAGTCCCAATTTTACAGAAGTCGATGTCCTTGGAGACTAATACTCTCAAAGAACTCACCAATCCCCAGATCGAAAAGTTCGATGGAAGCAATGCAGATTTCAAGACTTGGTTCACCGCTATGGATCTCCGTTTTGTCAAATACCCCGAAGACTTCAGCACTCCAGAGTCGCGCCTCACAGAGATTGCGGAGCATTCTTCGGGTCGCGCTGCAAACTGGATGAGTGCAATCATCACCGGCGATTGTGAAGATCTCATTGATGATTATGCTGAATTTATTGCACAGTTCTCTAGAACCTTTCAAGACGCGCAGTACATCTCGCGTATGCAAGACCAGTACATGACTAGACATGTAAAAGGTTCTGTCGCCATCTTTGCAACGCAACTCGAAGAAGCATCCCATGCTTTGGGTTACCCTCCCAATGTTATAGCACTCCAGTTCCTACATCACATGCAGCCCGAGATTAGAAAGGCGCTAAACCGTCAACCAACCCTCGACCGCAAAGACTATGAAATGGTCCGGAAACTTGCGGTAGAGGTAGACAGCAATATCTACCTAGAGCGCAAAGAGGAACGTACCGCACGGCCACGTACTTACACACCCATTGCCACTGCTGCAACTATCGTCCGCGCTGAAGAAACGACACAACAATACGGAGCTCGCCATACAGGCCCACGCCCTCCCCTCACAGATACCGAGAGAAACCGTCGGCGAACCCATAATCTTTGTCTATACTGCAGAGCAAACGACCATTTGGTGGAGAGATGTCAGCTCACAAAGGGACAACGCCGCCTCAACACCACGGCATACGAGCCAGACACTGCAACCTCTATACACCACAAGAACGAATCTGTACGTACTCACACCCCCTACTCTGCTAAATTGCAAACCTGGCGCCCCCCCACTGACTTCACCCCTAGGATTAAATCTCGACGTCCTCAACTCAAAGTCAAAGGGTCAGTGGGTGGAAAGGTAGTGCATGCATTAGTAGATAGTGGTGCGGAAGATAATTTCATCAATAAAAATATTTTACCAGAACTTCAAATCCAAAAGTCTACTCCTTTGTCCCAACCAATTATCGCTGCAGACGGCCACATCATCGTGCCTAGTGATAAAGCAAGAATCATAGAAATAGAATGTAAATTTAACACCCTCGCAAAAGGTCAATTCTCCTTTGTACCAGCTCCATTGAAACATCAAGATGTCATACTAGGTTACCCATGGTTGCAACGCCTAAATCCAAACATTGATTGGATTACCAGTAAAATAGAATGCAACAATCTCATACCACAAAAGCGTCCCATAAAAACACCAATAATAAAAACAAGGCCACGCACATTTCCCTCCCCTCTCCGCACTGTAGGTCAACGCTGGGGTGCACGCCCACTCAATAACAGTAAAGCCATCGCTATGACAAAGCACGTTCGCGAACTCATCCGCAAAAACACCAGTGTCCAACAAAACAACGGCCCCAACACTGAGGAAAGAGTTCCCATAATTGACTGGCAAAAATTATACCACACCCTAAAATTGAACACCCTATTGAAAGAACACGAGCCCGACACCCATCAAACCCTACCTAACCACTATACAAAATTTAAAAATGTTTTCTCAAAGCCAAAATCTGAAGAACTAGCAAAAGAAAGGTCAAACGTGAACTGCGAGATTATTCTCAAGCCAGACGCCAAGATGCGCCGCGGAAGAGTATACAAGATGTCCGATACAGAACTCAGTCTACTCAAAACCTATATTGACAATGGAATCCAACGAGGATGGATCTGCAAAAGCAAATCTCCTTGCGCCTGTCCAGTTATGTTTCGAACTAAGCCGCATGACTCGGCCCTACGCCTTTGCGTGGACTACCGTGCCGTAAACGCCAATACAGTCAAAAACGCTTACCCTTTGCCCCAATTAGATGACTACCTAAGCAAAATGCACGGCACTAAATTCTTCACCAAACTCGATCTTCGTAACGCCTTCCATCTGCTACAAATGAAAAAAGGTGATGAGTGGAAAACTGCGTTTATAAGCCAATTCGGCCTCTACAAATACCAAGTCATGCCTTTCGGTCTTTGTAATGCTCCAGCGACTTTTCAAGCATGGATGGACGATATTTTCCGAGAATTAAGAGAAACCATGATGTGTTACCTTGATGATATCCTCATATGGGGAGAAACCAAAGAACAAGTTATCGAACGTACCCACAAAGTCCTTTATATCCTTGAAAAGAACGGCCTATACGCCAAGCTTGAGAAATGCGAGTTTGAAGTCACGAGAACATGGTTTCTGGGTTACATAATCAAGCACAATAGTATCACAATCTGCCCTTCTAGAATATCTCTCGTCACCGAGTGGCCTGAATCTAAGACTCTCCAACAAGTACAATCATTCTTAGGCTTCATCAACTTCTACCGCCGCTTCATTCCACGGTTCTCCGAACTTGCCCACGGACTTACGGCTCTTACCCGTAAAGAAAACCTTCAACGTCGCTTCGAACTCAGCGAAGAAGGTCTTCAAAGTTTTAGAACTCTTCAAGACGCTTTCAAAGACTCGAAAGTACTGGGTATTTGGGACTCCAGTCTTCCAGCGATCCTCGAGACTGAAGCTTCCTGCTACGCTATTGCCGGCATATTATCACAAATTGTTAATGGTGTTAAAGTTCCCATCGGATTCTACAGCAAGAAACATTCACCCGAAGAGACCAGGTATGCTACACTAGACCAAGAACTCATGGCAATTTGTTACAGTCTCCAACACTGGCGTCATTATCTAGAAGGCGCTCGACACCAGATTACTGTCTACTCAGACCATCGCAATCTCACAACTTTCAACACCACCGCAAACTTGAACCGCCGTCAAGCCGGTTATTGGGCACAGATGAGCAGGTTTGACTACGTTATAAAGCATATTGCAGGAAAAAATAACCCCGCAGACTTACCTTCTCGCTGCAAAGGTTATAAACTCACAAAAGATGATGCACCCGAGGTCCACCCATTCTTATGCCTCGCCACAATGTCGCAAGTTCCTCCCGATATTTACAACGCCCTTGTCACAGCTACAGCAACCAATAATTACGCAGCCGAAGTTAATCCTTTGGACGAAGAGCCCAAGCTTAAATGGCAAAATGATATCCTGAAATACGCTGACAAACGGGCGTACGTACCTCCATCCCTACAAAATCGCATCTTAGAACTATGCCACAACTCCCCTCTAGCGGGACATCAAGGCCAAGCACGCACATTAGAGAAATGCTACCGCGATTGGTACTGGCCATATATGAAAGACGACATCAAAAGATACGTCCGAGGATGCCGAAACTGTAACGAAAACAAAGACCCGCACCACGCAACCTACAGAAAACTTTCCCCACTTCCTGTTCCCGAAGGAAGATGGACCAGAGTTCATATGGATTTTATCACTGATCTCCCTACGACAAGTTGTGGTAATAACGCCATCCTTGTTGTCATCGACGCCTTAACAAAAATGGCACATTTTAGCCCCGTAAAACTTAAAGGAAGCGATACTGCCAACGCTCGAACGACCGCAGATCTCTTCCGCCGAGAATGCATCTGTCTTCATGGTATTCCGGGTACCTTAATATCAGATTGAGACACCCGATTTCTGAACAAGTTTTGGAAAAATATGACGTCAAAACTGGGAATTGTCCAACAACCTACAACAGCCTACCACTCCACAGCCAACGGTCAAGCTGAACGTGCAAACACTATAATTGAAGCCCTACTACGTGCATATTGTAACCAAGCCCAAACTGACTGGGACACATGGTTAGATACATGTGAGTTTGCTTACAATGACTCAAAAACTTCGGCCACAGGCACCACCCCCTTCTTCGCAAACTACGGTTACCACCCACACCGCCAGTCCCACCCCGAGCTTTTCAACGAAGAACCAGACCAACATAACGACGGAGCAGATTGGGTCATAAAGCAACAGCTTATACTTGACAAATGCAAAGAACAGCTCCTAAAAACCCAAGCAAACATGTCAATATACTACGACCAACGGCATAGCAAAATGAGTTTTAGAGTTGGGGATCAAGTTATGCTACATACCCGCCATTTGTCTCTCGAAGTAGACAAATCGCGTAAGTTAGCACCTCGTTGGATAGGGTCATTTCCCGTGGTAAGCATCGAAGGTCCGCTCACTTACCGCCTTAGTATCCTAGATAAATTCAACATCCCGCACCCTGTCTACCACGTCTAAAATCTCGACAAGTACCATAGTCCTGATGTGGCACAAGGTCAAACAGACGTAAATGAAGCTCGCATATGGCACGAAAAGGTGACGTCCCTGATTCAACACCGACTCACGCCATATAGAATCCTTGCTTGTCGCACTTCCCAGAAAGGCTGTCAAGCCCATTACAAGCTGGAATTTATTAATACAGGCCATACCATATGGGCCCCAAAAACATTTGTTGGTTTCGCAAACTCCGACAATCGACTAATTGATGCTTTTCATACTCTCAATCCCAATGCCCCTCGACCTGCTGGGTATAGACTGGAGGCGGATTGTGTCTGGGAGGACATCACACTACCAGATGAGGAGGATAATGCACCACGCCGCAGACGCCCAAAAGTGCAATTCACTAGACAATCAACTTACGCCATCACCGCAGACAGACCTTATGGCAACAAAAAATTACAATATGCAGTATCCAACCCAGAAAGACCCACAGTAACAAAGTGGATGACCAGAGCGCAATTAATAGGGACTATTGGCCGACAAGGGCAGGACTTGGTAGAACATTACACTACTTCAAAAGACTAAGGCATAGATAAACACGCATACCCCCCCGCTAAAATTCTCATTGTTTAGGTGAATGAATTAGAACACAGAGGACGGTGCTCTGAAGGAGGGGGATAGTTACGCCCTCAGGGCTCCAAACATGCAATGAGCAAGGCAGTGTAGGTGCTTGAACATGAAACACCTACACGTGACATGAATGCCAATCTAGTCTTGGCATTACTCAGCAAACACCCACACCTCATGTATATAGAGCTCGCTGTAGCTACTTCTATTTCTCCTTCCATAGCCAATCTATCTTACATTCCTAAGGCTGCCTCTCTACCATTTTCATACCTCGTGATTTTAATACTGCGTAATTATAAAATTTTCTTTGATTGAGTAAGAATGGTACGCTTTGTGACTTTTTTACGTCCTATAAATATTATGGTTGGACTTGCTAGGGCACTTGGAGGTAAACTGGTGGAAGAATCCGGAATCACGTGACAATTTATAACGGGGATGTAGGCCGGACTAAGGTGGAGCCGAGGCGGAGCTGCGGTTGAGCTTACCTCAAGCTTGTAGCTTCCAGCACTTCCTTTCTCTTTGTATTTTCACCTACCTACGTAGCATAGCCTAATATCCATACACAACTTCTTCTTAGAGACCTGTATCATCCTCAGGTCAGTCGTAACAATAAATGCTCCTGTGTCTTCACCTACATTATCTCTATTTCCATATTTTGCCTCAAACTTGTCTAGTGCCTCTGTTTCTTCCAAATTGCATCTTTGTTCCCAGGTTGGCTCTGCAAATCCTTTCCATTTAACTAGCAGTAGTCGTCGGTGTCCCCTGCCAATTTTTTTATTCTCTGCCCGCAAAATTCTTTCAACGTATTGCTCAGGTTTGTTTTCTTTGTCTGTCTCGCCCTCTATAAATTGTGGTACAACAGATGGGGGTTGGGCGTCATCTATAACCTGCGATGGCAATGGATCTGTGGCAGCTCTTTTCAATAGGTTAACATGAAATCGTGGTCATATTCCTGATGGCGTATTTAATTCCACAGAATGGGAGTCCACAACCTTAACAATTTGATATTTTGTGTTAATCCAAGAAAGCTTCTTGGATAATTGTGGCAATTCTATATTCTTCAATTCCAGCCATACTAGGTCTCCCTTTTTAAAAACGTCTGCCTCTGTACAACTTCTATTTGCATACTCTTCCATTCTATGTTGGACTGAAGCCATAGAAGCCTGGGCGAGCTCTTCAGCTTCTCGAAGCCTTTCAACAAATACCTGTGCTCTTTTGTCGGGTGCCGACGGAGCGCTTGTTGCTTCTACTTGTTGGATAGGTTCAATATGGTAGCTGTGTTCAGCGAAAAATGGGCTCATTCCTAGTGATGATGAGGTTCTGTTATTTAGTGCTAACATTGCGCATGGTAATAAATACTTCCAGTCAAATTGTGTCATGTAGAGACATGATTCATTCATGAGTTGATATTGTTCAGACGATCATGACTATATCACAGCGTCATGTACAGGCACGACTCGTTGTTTGTACCTGTTGTACCAACCATGACTATGTCTCAGTGATATGAGAAACATCATTGACTAGTTACTAGAAACCTAATCAAGATCCTAAACACACAACTGAGACTAGGAGAATTTTACTGAGTAAGTAATTATTCTGATGAATCTAGATCTAGAGGAACATAATCTGGTTGCTTGGCTCGAGGTATATGAGCCTGAGCATATCATGTATTAAAAACTATATGGAAATCTATCTCAATCATAATCATCATCTTAATTCATGTCACCATCAATAGCTGCAAAGGACAGTTTAACCATTTCCTTATAAATTGCGTATATGTAATGAATGCTCTTAGGTATGCTAGGATTTCCTGGTTTATTCTCTCTGTAGCGCCGTCAGTCTGTGGGTGAAATGCTGTTGATAAGCGCTGATTTATACCTGTGAGACAACACAATTCTGTCCAGAAATCTCCGACCCAATTTGATCCTCTATCAGATGTTATTTGCGTCGGAAATCCATGGTATCTAACCTGGAGCTTAAGAAATACTTTAGCTCAATCTTCAGCTTTCATTGTCGTCATTTCCTCGATGGCAATACTTCCTTTCAACTAATCAACCACTATCATCATATACTTCGCATCTGTCTCTATTTTTGCTGGAAGATCTGTCATAAAATCGATTGCTAGTTCGCTGTTGAAGCGATCAAGTATAGGTAGGGGACGCAGTAGCCCTTTTTTACGTTCTCTCCACACATGACTGCGTCCACAAACATCATAGTTCCGGCAAAATCTTCTGACCCCTTTTGAAATTCCAGGCCAGAAAAAATTCCTGCTTTGTAGGGCTAATGTACTGTCTCTTCCTGGGTGTCCAGTAAGATTAGAGTCGTGAGTTTCCTGGATCAGTGCTGTCTGTAATGGCTCAAAATTAGGTCCCCAGACCCTGTTTCGGAACACCAGGGCTCCTCTGGCATCGAAACTGCATTCAGCTAGTGATATCTTTAAATCTTTGAGTGTTGGAGGAAGACTTCTATCACCTCTAGCTAAGCTTTTATACTGTTCATGAACGCTCTTATCCTCTTGAACCGCCTTGTCCCATAGATATTGGAAATTTTTATCTGGAAAAATACTAGAACTGTCAGGAATATTTTGCAATATATTTCTAATTATTGGCTGCAATGGATTTTTTTGTTGAGGTTGTACAAATCCAAGCGTCTTTAATCATTTTTAATTCTCGGTTCTTTAATTGATCATCTTCAATTCCTTGGGGCATGTCTTGTTCACGCCTAGATAGTGCATCTGGCCTTGCGGCTTGTTTACCGGGGCGGAATTGGAGCTTAAAATTAAATTCAGATAAAAGCTGAGACCAACATATTTGACGAGAATTTAGTCTTCTTGTAGACATGAAATCTTTAAGATTCTGGTGATTAGATAAAACTATAAAGGGTTTACTTAAACCAATTAGCATGCCCCTCCATTTTTTCATACAACAAATGATGGATAATAATTCTCTATCATGTATATTGTAATTAACTTCAGCTGGGGTTAGTTTCTTTGAAAGGTAAGCAGCTGGACGAAGGACTCCATTCTTGTAACGGCTAGTGAGCCGGTAATTACCCTGTGGCACATGATGTTAATCACGTGCTTCACAACTTTACGAAACCACTATTCTATCATAGATTAATCTGGACATCACTAGAAATTTCTAGCAACTAGTAGTAAGACTGCGAACCAGCCTCAGGGGAAAATACTAGAAACTGGTATTAGTCAAGAATATTCTAGATAGAATAGTAAGCGAATAAATAGTTGAAGTTGGACGTACATAGATAGCCATAGAGAAAATAATAAACAACCTTCGTATATTTGATCGCCCCAGCATCTATACCTCGAACCGTGACATATTATTTTCTCTCATTCAGGCATTCAGAACCGCAGTCAGTCGCAGTAATTCAGAACCGCAGTCAGTCGCAGTAATTCAGAACCGCAGTCAGTCGCAGAAATTCAGAATCGTAGTCAGTCACAGTAACTCGGAACCGCAGTGAGTTGTAGTCATTCAGTAATAAATCTCAATAATAATGACATCATCGGTAACCGGGGGACGCCACCAGATGGTACCTATCGAGGAATTCCGCGAACTTCAGCATCAGTTTAAAAAATTGCTCGAAAAGCAATCTTGTAAACCTACGTCTACTAAAAGATTTATCATTGAGAAGGATCCACCACCAAGCGAGCACACCAGTCTAAAGCCGACAAAGCTTCCGGAATTCATTGGAATTAGAGCTGAATACCCAGCATGACGTGCTGCTGTCTTGGATACTTTCCGTATGGACTGGAATCTTTT